TTTCATTTAATCATTTGTATATTTATTTTAAATATTTAAAAGTCTTCACTTTACCGTTTTCTTTTATTTAAAAAAGAAATCATGACCATGTATATAAGTGGTTTGATAATGCTTCACCCAATATTTGAAGCAGCTAAGATTGTAGTGTTCGAGGTATCATTCACGCGCGTGTCTGTTCCATCAACTAACGCTTCTTGGTAAGAAGCTGTGCAAGTGGAACATCATTCTTGTCAGGGAGCGAATAGCGATAGAATAAGTTTGATTCAAACCTATGCAAGCATCCAGTTGGGTCTTAACTGTAGACGTTTCAATTGACAGTGCTAAAGAATTGTGCTCGCTTGAACATTTGCCATGGAAATAGCGATGGAGTAGCATTTCGTCTATAGAAAAGGAGGAATAAGTTGGAAAATGTCATCGTACAAGAGGCCGCGTAAGTAGACCGATATTATTTTCTCTAGACTTTCTTTTATGTTAAAAAGCCGCCCCAATGAAATTTAATTTAAACATTGTGTTGTTTCGCTTCATTTTCGACTGACATTTTTCCCGAAGAGTTTTTACTTTGTGTTTTTGCACTCCACCTGTCTCTTCGTGGCCAAGCGGTAAAGCACACCGAACTAAACAGTAAATCTCCTAGCTTGAGGCACGCTGGTTCGATTCCTGTCAAAGCACACAATTTTTTATTTAATAACGTTTCTTGAACATTTAAGCCAGTAGGTGAAAATAAATAAATATACTGTTTAATATAGGTACCTACACTAATTCGCAATACCTAAGGATTAAAATGAATTTTTGAAAATGAAAATTCTTTCTTGAAGGTTGCATTTTAACTTTAATTGAAAGCTAAAGGATTACATTTACCATTTCCACTAAGCAAAATATTCTGGTGTATTTCAAACAGAAATAATATTGATTTGAAACGATTTTCCTCTTTTTTTTCTAAAATAGCTGATTAGCGCCTTTTTAGTCGTCCTTCATCGCAGTGTAATTCCCTTTATGAAAAAATCTTCCAAAAATAAAATATACTTTTCTGAAACTTTATTTGAGAAATATTAGCTGCTTTAAAGAATAATTAATCTGGTTTGTAAGAAATATTATTTACTTTAAGTTCAAACTAAGACAAATGAATTTTTAAACCAAATAGTAGCTGCGTTTTTAACCCACCTTAATTATGTTTCCGAGTTTGACGAGTGATGAAAAGTGATTACAGGTTTATTGTTGTTCTACTGAGACTTTATCTGTTAAAACTTAATTAAAGAATTGTGAGAGCTTCATTTATATAATTTTAAGTACTCGGTAACCTTAAATTTCTTGGAAAATATTCTTCTTAATTCTTTTAAGAATGTTGACTTTAAATTTACTATAGTCTTCACTTTTATTTTCTGTATGTTCCACCGTACTTTTAAAGATGGTCATTTATATACTAAAAAAAAGTAATTCAAAATTCTTTTAAAAATTCTGGAGCTTAAAAACTGGTATCAAACGTCATCATTTATGATTAGTAAATATAGTTTTCACTAAATAATCCAAACGGCTTAAATTAATACAGAATTTTAAAAGATTTCAAATTTAATAAATCTTTCTAAATAAAATTAAAATAAAATGAAAACAAATCTTGTAAAAATTCATTATTCATCGAAATTATTCTCAACACAATAGTGTACTTAATACATCTTATTTTTGAAAGCAGTTAACAGTTTTTCTAATTATATACTGTCATAGTTTCATTGTATTTTTATTTTACGATTCGGAACAGTTTTCGGTAAATGCTGTTGCGGTTTGACAAAAACAAAATGATTACTAAAATTTTCCAAGGAGTTCTATTTTTAACTAATATGAAGAGGAAGAAATTTGAATTTCTCAAATTTTCATAAAATTAAGTAATACAATTTTAGGAAAATTTTCTAAAACATAAAATGAAAAAAAATCTTTCATTTGTGAAAAAGTGCAAAAAGTTTCATTAAAACACTTTTAATTATTAATTTTAATTAATTATTTAATTTTTGCAAGAATTTCCAAATCAATGTGTTTTATAACAGAAAAAGGCGCTAAAAATATTTTAGCGTCTATTATAGCAATCTTTGCCCCGCAGCAGGCGCACAGAAACGGGCTTTTTATTAAAAAATTTGAAAAAAATTTGTCCTAGAAATGATTAGAAAATTTAATAAAATAATAAAAAGATACTTTGGTTTTTCCTCTAAATAATAACAAACATTTAGACGATAAAACTTTGTTTCCTCAAGTTTGAGGCGTTTTTTTTCATCAAAGTATGCTCTTTTTAGCGAAAAAGAAGAAGGTACTTAGTATAATATAAAACGATTATTTAAGTATCCACTAATAATAACGTTTATATATATATATATATATATATATATATATATATATATATATATATATATATATATATATATATCACATGAAACGTTTTTATTAGTGGATACTTTTAGTCGCTTTTTTTACATATTACACTATGTATCTTAACTTTTTGCTATCTATTTATCTATTTATTATATATATATATATATATATATATATATATATATATATATATATATATATATATATATATAACGTGTGTAACAGCAAAATTGTCCAATTGCTAGATTAATGTCTTAGAAATGATTAAAGATATTTACTGGAATTCTCCGAGATTTTTATAATATTATTGGACTTTACTTTGAATAATAAAAATGTATTTTGCTTTAAGTTGAAATGATGATCCTTCTTGTTATTTTGAACTCCTCATCCAATTTTCCTCTCTAGTGTTCCCTCATTTTAAAACTTATTCGCCGTTTAACTGATGGTTCTTGAATGGACTTTGAAGATGAAAGCCAGATTATGAAATATTGGTACCATAATTGAAGGCCTGAATGATATTTTTCCTCTCACTATTGCTCATTTGGGAAGACATAGTGGCGCTGAAAGAAAACGATTTTAATCTGCTCTCTTTTTTAGCTGAATAACTCAAACGAGTTTTCAGTGATTCTTACAACCCTGTATTAAAATGACTAAATGTCTTAACTGAAAACCTGGAAAAAAGAAACTAGAATTAGTTTAGTGGCTTTTTAGACATTAAACATTTTGTAGGATAGACAATTATTCAATGCTGTTACATGATTTGGACAATTTTGCTGTTACACCTGCTATATATATATATATATATATATATATATATATATATATATATATATATATATATATATATATATATATAGTATAGAGACTAATAATTATTAATTTTTTCGGATTGTAGACATAATATACAAAAAGATAAAAGAAGATAGAATTACGTTAGCGACTGATATCTTCACAACATAATATCAGTTTACTGAGTGGTATCTATCTATCTATCTATCTATCTATCTATCTATCTATCTATCTATCTATCTCAGTGTGTCAGTATCTATCTATCCCCGTCTCTTCATTTCTATCTATCTATCTATCTATCTATCTATCTATCTATCTATATCTATCTATCTATCTATCTATCTATCTATCTATCTATCCCAGTGTATCAGTATCTATCCCGGTCTCTTCATATCTATCTATCTATCTATCTATCTATCTATCTATCTATCTATCTCTATCTATCTATCTCATGTGTCAGTATCTATCTATCCCAGTCTCTTCATATCTATCTATCATCTATCTATCTATCTATCTATCTATCTATCTATCCCTATCTATATCCCAGTGTATATATCCATCCCGGTCTCTTCATTTCTATCTATCTATTCATCTATCTATCTATCTATCTATCTATCTATCTATCTATCTATCTCAGTGTGTCAGTATGTATCTATCCCCGTCTCTTCATTTCTATCTATCTATCTATCTATCTATCTATTTATCTATCTATCTATCCCAGTGTATCAGTATCTATCTATCTATCTATCTATCTATCGGTATCTATCTTCTATATCCCATCTATCTATCTATCTATCTATCTATCTATCTATCTATCTATCTATCTATCTATCTATCTATCTATCTATCTATCCCTTCTATCTCTTCATATCTATCTATCTATCTATCATTTCTATCTATCTATCTATCTATCTATCTATCTATCTATCTATCTATCTATCTATCTATATGTAATATATGTGTGCAGGAAATTGATAATGTTTAGTTTGGTCTTGCAAAATACACTTTTTCTAGAGTATCTAAAAAATTCTACAATATTTGTTTTTTAACTAATTCTAAATGGCGCGGAAAATGATAGTATTTATAAAAATACAAGCTGAAATTTGTGTGGTCCCAATTTGAGGATCAGATTTACAGAAATAATCTGGTCGGCAAAACGAGCATACGCACCACAATGGTGCTACGGTAGGTGTGCGCGTTTTATTTTATTTAAAGGAAAATTGTGCCAAATCTTTTTAAAACTCAACCAAACACAAACAACCATTTACCTCGAGGAAAATTTGCCAAATAAATAAACAACACTGAATTGTCTTTAAATCTGGTTCCTGCAAAAAGGTTTTTTGGAAGAATGGCCGTAGGTTAAATTCCCAGTGACGTCAACAGATGCTTCGTTACTCATCGGTAAACTCTTGTGCTATTTTCCCAGAACACTTTTCAAAATGAATTCGTTTATCTTCACGTGTCGAAATGAGTTCTGATGGTAGTGTGTGCATCATCAAGCAGACATACGCACACACATTCACGTTATGTGGGTGCATTTGGAAATAATTTGAGGAAGATGAAAAGATAAGTGACATCAAAAGATCTTCCAAAATATTCCAAAAGTCAGCTTAACTTAATAAAGAAAAAAAAAATGATGAGGTATGATTGGAAGGGGAGGGAATGTTAAATAAGGGTAGAAAATGGGAGGAAATTCTTCTATTAATTAAGAAAAAAGAATTAAAATTGGTTGAAGAGAACATAAAATAAGGAAAATAAACAGAAATATCAAAGAGGAAATTTTATGGGCGAGAGACAAAAATGAACGAAAAGGGATGAAATAGGGATTGGGGGAGGAGTGATGAAGGTAAGGCAAGTTAGAGGGTGGGAGAGAAGCAGGGAGGGAGTGAGGAAAGGCGAGGTAGAAGGAAGGAGAGAGTGAAGAAGGAAAGGAGAGATAAAGGGTAAGAGAGTAGTAGGGAAGGAGGGAGAATGGGAAGGAAGATAGAAGGAAAGAAATAATGAAGGAGTGAAGAAGGGAAGTAGTGGCAGGGGAGAGAGAAGACTAGGTAAAGGGAAGAAGAGACAGAAGGGGTGAGGAAGGCTGGATAGTGGGAAGGAAGGGGAGATGGAAGGAAGGAGAGAGGGAAGAAGGGAAAGCAAGTTAGAGGCAAGGAGAAGGGAAAGAAGGAGGAATGGAAGGTGAGATACATGGGAGGAGAGAGGTGGAAAAGTAGGGAGGGAGGAAGGTCAGGCGAGGTAGAAGGAAGGAGAGAGTGAACGCGTGAGGGAGGGAAGGAGAGATAGAGGGAAGGGGAATGGAAAAGAAGGGGAAAAGAATGGAGGGAAAGCGAGATAGAGGGAAGGGGAATGGAAAAGAAGGGGAAAAGGATGGAGGGAAAGCGAGATAGAGGGAAGGGGAATGGAAAAGAAGGGGAAAAGGAGGGAGGGAAGCCGAGATAGAGGGAAGGGGGAGAGAATGAAAACGTGAGGGAGCTAAGAAAGACGAAAAGGTATAGCTTGTGGGAATAACGTGTAAAATGAGATTCAGAGAAAGAGAAACGGTGCGGGATGTAAAAAAAAAAAAAATCCCTAAAAAATGCGGGAATACCAAACATAGCGGTGACACGCCTGGGCACAAGCATATAGACATATATGTAACAGAAAATAGATGCAAATGTGCACGTATAGACACACACGTGGAAATACAGGTGAAAAAATAAAAAGGGAGAAAGAAAATGAAGTGAAAAAGAACAGAGACGGATAAAATGATAAGTAAAATATAAGAATAGAGAGATATAATGGATGAAGAAAGAAAAAAAAAAGAAAGAAAGAAAAAGAAAGAAAGAACGACGGAATGTTGGCTTTGATCAGAGTATTGAATCTGAAACGTAACTAATAATTTAATTTATATAATTTTCATACACACACATATATATATATATATATATATATATATATATATATATATATATATATATATATATATATATATATATATTGTGTAGTTTACTGCTACCAGCAAGCAGAAATATTTCTTCTCCCGATGATGGCCATTTTGGCCGAAACTAGTCGAGGAATCTAAATGAAATAATAATAAAAAAAAAAAAAACGAAAGAATATTAATCTACAACCCAGTGTGTCTAAAGATTTTAATTTTTAATATTTTTATTGTTCAATATATATATATATATATATATATATATATATATATATATATATATATATATATTATCCTTTTGAAATTTTGGCCGAAACTATATATATATATATATATATATATATATATATATATATATATATATATATATATATATATATATATACACACACACATATATATATATATATATCCGATGCGATGAGAATATATAAAGGTAATCTATAAATTCCAAGGTCCACAGAAAGTAATCATTAATCCCGAAGAGGGCTCGATACCGATAGCAGAGCGATCATTATTTATTTATTATAATTTTATCATCTAGCACGTGGAACTAGAACAATCTACTCGAGTGAGCGAACTATAGGGTTCAGTTTAACATTCCATTCACCTGAAGAAGTCCGGAGCGTATAACGGCCGAAACGTTGTAATAAATATTGCGACAAAGATGAGGACAATAGTCCGAATAATGTAAATAATGTACATCACTGATGATGTGTACCAAAGCATCCAATAGATGTATTTTACGAAATTATCTTTGTCTGCTACAAGTCTCTCGTGATGACTGGTGATCATGAAATCATTCTTGAATAAACGCTAATCATATTTTAAAAATATCAATCTGCTTTGTCAACGGGGCTAGAATACACTGAATGCATTGCGACCAGAAGAGAAAAACCTCCTATCTATAGAGTCACCCACCAAATAAATGCGTACACATTCAAATATAAACAACCAATATTTAGCTAGTGACGAATCAAATGTTTTGTCTCAGATAAAAGTAAACAAATATTTAGTAATTTATTAGACTTATTATAAATGACCAATATTTACCAATTTATTCAGATCTTATAAGGACTGATTTTGGCATTAAATAACCTAACAAGGCGTAGTAATCTAAATAAATAACAAAGTTAAATAACCTAAATTACTACTTTTTTCTAATCAGCTCTACTCATCGGCCGCATGAATTTACGACTACTACTAGAGTAGGTCTCATCGTTATACTGTTTAGTCACCTAGATATAATAGTAAGTTCTATTCTAATTGTTCTTTTTCCCGCGCTTCTTGCCTGTGGAAATCTTTTCCCGGTTTTATGCTTCCTGGCAACCTACTATCTGCAAAAGGTGCAATATTAAATATATGCAATACTAAACAACATCTGTCTTCCTGAATTAAATATCCTAGTAAACCCCTTAGTGACATAATCGCCTTTCTTGGGGTGAAATGATTTAAAAAAAAAATCATTACTTTATTGCTGTAAGAAGAGAAACGGAAGGAAAGAACCGAAGAATATATTGGCTAATTAAACGCTAATCACATGCTAAGACTACCGGTCTGTTCTGTCTGCGGAGCTTTAATAAACTGATTGTATTACAGGCAGAAGAAAAAATAAAAGACCAAAAACTCCCATCTAAGGAGCCACCCACCAAATAAATATGTACACATTCAAATATAAACAACCAATATTTAGCTAGCGACGAACCAAACGTTTACAGACTCAGGTATAAGTAAACAATTATTTAGTAATTTATTACTTATTTGTAAATGACCAATATTTACCAATCTATTCAGATCAAAAATGACTGATTTTGATATTAAATAACCTAACAAGCGGTAATATGTTTTAAAATGCACTAACCCAAAGCCAATATATTTATACTTCTAGATGTTTACTAAAGTTAACTCATCTGGTATACGGTCCTAAACGTAGAGCACTTAATCAGGACCGACATCACTATAGTACTAAATATCAATTCATCTAAGTTTCTGGGTTTTCTCTACAAAAAGAGGCTTATACTAAATTAAACTTAGTCTGGATCAAGACTTCCACTGTTGAGCACCAATTGAAAATTATATTCTCTACAACAATGGTAAGAGTATGCCAAGAGAGATTTTATGTAACATTTTAGCAGGGGCGCATAGCCCAGTGGATAAAGACGTTGGTTGGATCCAGTGTCTAGACCTAAAGAGTTTTAAGTTCAATTCCAGGCCACAGCAGTGGTGAACCAAACACTTGGAGAGTTCAGCTAAAGGGAAAGATCCGGAAGAGGCATGGCACCTGGAACTAGAACAATCTACCCAGGTAAACGAAATAAAGGGTTCGGTTCGAAATTCCAATCATCGGAAGTAGCCCGGAGAGTACATTTTAAATATGGCTATGAAGATGAGGATAACAGCCCGAATAATATAAATAATGCAAGTAAGCATGATACCTCATCTCAGAGATATAGATAGATATAGACAGAAAACTCTATCATTGGTAGTGACCCCCTTTCAGAGTTTGGGAATGTGTAAAAAGACGAAAAATACTCGGAGCACGTGTGCTATAAACAGTAAGAGGCTAGTTTACTTTCACTGCGGGACGAGATCGAGATAGGACGCTAAAATTAGCTTCCCCTGTTTCCCTGCAGCAGTGGCACATGGCACAGTCTGTACGCATCCCTTACTCTCTAATTTACCGGCATTGTAAATTCAACTTTTTCTTAATTTTTTTTGCAGAGATTCTTACGAACATTCCTCGAAATTTCCTCGACACAAAAAAAGTTTCCGATAGAATAAATATTTTTTTATCTCGTGTTGTATCACATTTTTGCTTGTCGATTTTTTCAAACCAACTCGCCACAATTATCTTTGTTCAACAGACAACCTAGTAACAACAGTCGTATTTACAATTTCTCCCCAGAGAAGCCATTTAAAAAAATGCAACAAGGAAATGTGTAAGTAGTGAAATGGGTTCGAATTCAGGTTGCTTCTGTTTATATTTAATTTACTTCTATGTTCCTATGAAACGGGAATTCATTATACGATTAAAAATTTATTATACGGTTAATATTTATAGACGGTAAAAATTTATAGACGGTAAAGATTACACGGTAAAAATTTATAGACGGTAAGAATTTATAGACAGTAAATATTTATAGACGATAAATATTGGCGGTAAATATTTATAGACGGTAAAATTTATAGACGGTAAAATTTTATAGTCGGTAAAAAATTATAAATAGTAATTATTTATAGACGGTAAAAATTATACGATAAAAATTTATCGACAGTAAATATTTATTGACGGTAAATATTTATAGACAGTAAAATTTATAGACGGTAAAAATTTATAGACGGTAAAAATTTGTAAACAGTAATTATTTATAGACGGTAAAAATTAAACGGTAACAATTTAGAGACGGTAAAAATTAGACGGTAAAATTTTATAGCCGGTAAATATTTATATACGGTAAAAATTTATAGACAGTAAATATTTATAGACAGCAAAAATTATATGGCAAAAATTTATAGCCCGTAAATATTTACAGACGGTAAAAATTAATAAACGGTAAAAATTAGACGGTAAAATGTTATAGTTGGTAAATATTTATAGACGGTAAAAATTTATAGAGGCAAATATTTATATACGGTAAAAAATTAGACAGTAAACATTTATAGACGGTAAATATTTATAGACGGTAAAAATTAGTCGGTAAAAATTTATAGACGGTAAAACTTTATAGACGGTAAAAATTAAACGCAGACGTATCAGGTGGTTCTCTTAAACTCATTTTAACTAATCAGAAAAGAGATTAAAATATTTACGCCTCGCCTTTTGAGTCTGTAAAATAAACGATAAATAATAAGGATTTTGAAGTCGCACGTTGAATCTGCTACAGCACCATACATACGAATCTGCCCCCACCAGAACGTTCTTACAATCTTATTTCAGTGGTACATAGATTTATAATTTAATTATGCCCCTCGCATACGCACCTAGAAACAAATTATGAATTAACAATACAAATCCCATATTCAACAAGACTCGACAATTACGGAGAGCTGATTTATTAAAAGATTGTAAAGGTTGGGCTGAAAAGTTCATAGGCTGACGATGAAAGATTGACGCTAGAGATATCATATGTTGTATGCATTAATTTCAACTCTTTTTATTAATAACTGCATTGTTTTTTTCCAGGTAAACTAACATCTGACTGTTCAAAGATAAATTCAAAAGGAACTAGTAGCGACTTCTCTTGAAAATGGACAATATGGTTTCGTTATCAAGTTTCTTCAGAAAACTTTTAGCCCCAGCGACATTCATGCAGACATGGTTGATACATTAGGGGATGAGGCCCCAGCTTTATCAATAGTGCAAAAGTGGTCAGCTGTATTTAGGAGGGGAAGAGAGATTCTTGAAGAGGACTCACAGTCTGGAGGTCTTGCAACTGGCACCAGCGAGGAAAAACATTGGACTTTTTTCTGGTGAGTGATGACAGACGATTGACTATAAATAAAACAACCAATAGCATATCCCATGAGAGTGTTAAGAATATCCTGAACAATGAACTTGACATGATATCTTTATACGCGGTGGGTGACACGTCTTATGGCACCTGATGAAAAGCGTACCACGCTGATCACATCGGATATTGTTTGAGGCAAATCCAGGATGAGAGAAAGAGACAATCCATGCAGTGGAGACTCGTCTCCCCATCTCGCCTTTTATCTGCTAGGAAGGTGACAACAACAACTTTTCGGGATGCAAAAGACATTGTGTTAATTGACTGCAAAATGAAGAGTATTATGCATAGGTCAAATGCCTAGGAAAACTAACGAAATGGTATGCTCAGGTCAATGCTCCAAAACACAAATCTTTGATTCCAATGACTGCTATGTGTGACTGGGGTTTAGAAGTGATTGTTCACACTCCATATTCGCCTGATTTCGCTATCATCTGTTCCCCATCATGAAAAATAACTTTGCTGGGAACTAGTATCGTAGTGATAATGAAGTCATATCTGCTTCTTTGACCAACACTATAAACACTAGTGTTCTTTGAACAATTAGACATCAATTCACCAGGAAAGAAACACTGCAGTTATTAATAAGGAGAGTTGAAATTAATGCATGCAATATTTGATATCTCTAGAATCACACTTTCATCGTCAGACTATTAAGTTTTCAGCACATACTTTTCAGTCCCAGTAGCTCCTTGCGTCTTAGTGGCATTATCACTTTACTTGGGGCGAATAGATAGATAGATAGATAGATAGATAGATAGATAACTGTTAAGAAAATATACTTTGGTTTGGTTTGTTTTACGGCATATCAGCCTCAATGGGTTATTTGATACTGACAAGATTTTTATTGCTGGTAATTTTTTCAAAAATATATTGCTGGTAATTTTTGTTCAAAAATGTATTGCCGGCAATCTTTTTTCAAAAATGTCTTACTGAAATTTTTTTCAAAAATGTATTGCTGGTAATAATGTATTGTTTGTAATCTTTTTTTTTTTCTTTTTCAAAAATATATTGCTGGTATTACAACCTCGTAAATTAGTTTAATATTTATTTCAGAAAGATAGTTTCTTGCTTTCATTCTAAATTTATTGCTTTGTTTTTGTCTAGCATGGGTCGCAACATGACTTTTTTTTTATAGCAGCTTGACTTAATGTCAAAATCTTCTCAATATTTGTCGGCTTCTTAATTCATTTATTGTTGTCGACAAGACGGCTGTCATATATCACTTGTACAAGGCCACGTGTTAACAGTTAGACTTCCCTCACACGTTTAACCTTTTTTATTGCTAGAAATCGTGAACATTGAAATTCCCAAGTAGGCATCTACGCGGACGGCACTACAATTTACTCCTGCCTCAAAAACAAATCTAGTGTCGCTGACAAAACTAACCTGGCCGTTCGTCTCAAAAAGGGCCTCCAATCAATTGTGAACTGGGGCAGGAATTGGCTGGTTAACTTTAATGTCTCAAAAACAAAACTGCTCTCTATTAATCAAGAGATCCTTCCCCCCACCATTAGAATGTTTGACGTTCAACTTCTCGAGAGCACCTTTTTGCGGCTGCTAGGTCTCGCATTTACTGCTGACCTGAGATGGAACAAATACATTGAGTCAATTGCTTCGTTCATCGTCCATCATTCAAATCTACAAATCGACCATTCGCCCTTGCATGGAGCGTTGCTGCCATATATGATCTGGAGCCCCTTCTGTTTGTCTCGGGGTTCTTGATACGATCCAGAGACGGATATGCAAAATTGTCCCTGATCTGGCATCTCGTCTGCAGTCGCTCTTTCACAGACGTGCCGTCGCCTTAATTTTTTTTTTATACAAATACTTTCATGGTAATTTTTCCGATGAGCTGATTTCGCTGGTTCCCAGACTTCATGAATTCAAGCGTCCTACGAGACTAGCATCCCGCTCTCACCCTTTCACTGTCAAAACTATTAAATGTAGCCGTCTCTTCTACTCCAATAGCTTCATATCTCGCACCTCTCGCCCGTGGAACTCCCTTCACTATTCCTGTTTCTCTGACAGCTATAATCTTCAACTATTCAAATGTAATGTCAATCGACATCTCCAGTTACCTTGATCTATCCACTATCACTCCTACCTGACTCGCTCCAAATCCTCTGTAACCCTTTGCGTGCCAGTGGCTTCTCCCGCCTTGCTTGGGGTGAAATGCTTAAAAAATGTAATTACCACGACGTGATACATCATGGATTAATGGAGAGAAAAAGAAAGAGGAAGAGAGGAAATGTTTATCTTATTGTAGATTTCAACAGCGCCACCTAATGGGTTTTAAAGAAGCTAACAAAAGGGTCCGATTCCATGGGAAAATATATTTCATTTTTTATTATTCATTATTAATTTATTGATTGATTTGATTTCATTTTCCTATATATATATATATATATATAAAAGAAATATGTTGTAGTGGTTCCAACGAGAGAAAAGTATGTATATTAAAAAGAAGAAGGGTGCCGCAAACGTTTTTGGTTGTAATGTGGATTTATTGAGAAAAATATTAAACTTTGTTTTACATAATTTCACGACACGTGTTTCTGGTCTGGTCTCGCAAACCGTCTTCAGGTGAAAGTGGAGATTTTTACATATTATTAAAAATAATTAATTTTTTCTTCATGTTCAATGTGGAATATTCTCGATATGAGACATTCTGTTTGTGTGTTGGCAATCCGAATTTTCTTTCTAGAATTGTCAATGAAGAGTTCTGCGTGAAGGGTCATAAAACAATTAAGGTTTGTCCAGCGAGTAGTTATCGGCATTTAATCTTTTAATGTTTTAGTGACCTCTATGTGCTCTTGGATCTGTTTCTATTTTGGCGTGTTCCTGTCAGCATGCGTGTATATATGCGTGCGTATATTTCCTTACTACGAGGAATTCGTAAACTTATTTGTACTTATACACGCATACACACACATACGCACATACACACTATCCCACCACAAGTAGTCAGTACACACACACATATACACACATATTTCCCAAGCTACATGGAACCAGTACAGACACATACACACACACACATACATACACACGCACACACACACACACACACACACGTACTTCTTAAGTTGTTAACATCCGCATATACATACATAAATGTATGTATGTGTACATACACATATATATATCTCCTCGTGTCTCCCGTATATGAGTGTGTGTCCATGTATGTGAGCGATCATTGTATTTGGTCACCCTGTGTGCATGTTTTTTTTTTTTTTTGTGGGGGGTACGATCTATTCAGTAAAAAAAAAAAAAAAAACATGCACACAGGGTGACCAAATACAATGATCGCTCACATACACGCAGGAACACGCCAAAATAGAAACAGATCCAAGAGCACATAGAGGTCACTAAAACATTAAAAGATTAAATGCCGATAACTACTCGCTGGACAAACCTTAATTGTTTTATGACCCTTCACGCAGAACTCTTCATTGACAATTCTAGAAAGAAAATTCGGATTGCCAACACACAAACAGAATGTCTCATATCGAGAATATTCCACATTGAACATGAAGAAAAATTAATTTTTTAATAATATGTAAAAATCTCCACTTTCACCTGAAGACGGTTTGCGAGACCAGACCAGAAACACGTGTCGTGAAATTATGTAAAACAAAGTATAATATTTTTTCTCAATAAATCCACATTACAACCAAAAACGTTTGCGGCACCCTCTTTTTTATATATATATATATATATATATATATATATATATATATATATATATATATATATATGAAGTTGTCTGAACATGGAACAAAATAGTTGTTGCTAAATAACCATCATATCATCCAAATAATATCGATTTTCGCTTAATATATTTAGAAAAGGCTTGTGGTTGCTCAATACTTTCATCTTTTGTAAATTTAGTTAATGTTGGGAAACTCATGTAAACAGAAGTCGCAGTAAGACCTAAAACATAATTTTATATATCATCCATCTCTTAGTGGACACACACACACACACACACACACACATACACACACACACACACACACACATATATATATATATATATATATATATATATATATATATTGAACAATAAAAAATAAAAATTAAAATTTTTAGACACACTGGGTTGTAAATTAATATTCTTTCATTTTTTTATTATTATTCCATTTAGATTCCTCGACTAGTTTCGACCGAAATGGCCATCATCGGGAGGAGAAATATTTCTGCTTGCTGGTAGCAGTGAACTACAGAAATGAATGTCTTGATGGAGAAAATGAACTTTTGTCTGTAGTTTTCATTTGTTTTTATTTTTTTATCTTTTAACATGAAACTTTTAACATTCCTTGTGTTGGTCAAACAGTCTCTTTTAAGTTGTTATTTGAGATAAGTGCTGGATAGATACATATTATTCTGAATTCTCTGGTAAAGTTTGATAGTTTTATTGGACCTATATATATATATATATATATATATATATATATATATATATATATATATATATTTGTTCAATTTTTCTGATATCAATTGTAAGTTCAGGTAGTGTAAGATCTCAGTTTATCTCGCGAGATAAAGCGAGAGCCCTGTTTGCTCAAAATTAAGTCCGCTGGTAGTGAAAGGGGAGTAACCATTGCAGGACGCTGGACTCGACGATGGTATATGAAGGAAGTGCACTGCCTAGCCCAGATGGGCCGTTCGCAGTCATACCCACAAGATCAAATGGAATAGAGGTCATGACATTTGGGATCGGCTTGGCTCTTAGTGTTGACATCCAACCATCTTCTTGGTTCCACTTCTAATTTCCTGTCTAGATTTGCTTCCATAACCTTTTCCGTGTTTGGGTATGATATCCAAACATCATAGGTTTAAAATCAGTGTTCATCTTACCCTAGATGTACCGCTTTCCGAATCTGACAGGCGCCATCTAACCGATGCAGCTGCGTATGTAGCACCAGTTTCCCGCCTCAGATCTTTTCCTGGCTTGGAACTAGACTTAATTGTCAGATACTGTTTAAGACGCCATGTGTGTATCATGTATCTCAAATTTTATTTCTTATTTTATATCTTATAATTTTATTGTAACTGTAGTTTAAGCTGATAAGTATTCAACCCCAGCCACCAAAACCAGAATGTCCAATGATCGTCGTCGAAATCTCAGAGCTTTATTATGTATTTGATGTAATGAATATGCATTCACTTGGGTTCCCCTTCACAGTTATATGATTAGCTGGTGTCAGCCATAAATACAGACTGATGTGGAGGTACAGGACGACGCCTATTGGCTACACCTATAGTCTTCGTCTATTGTCTCCGCCTACTGCCTACCACTACGACGAGGACCATTCCATTACGGTTACCTTGTCCATTGTCCATAATCCCCACTTTGTTGCTTCGACCAAATAATCAAACAACCACTTTGTATGAAGGATTAACACAGTACAAGGCTCAAGACCAAATATATCCCTTAAAAAGAGGTGAACGTTATATATATAGAGTGATTGGGCATTATATTGAAGAGTGTTATTTCAAATAGGTGTCTCTTCCCCAAAAGGATTTATTATGATTTAGATTGTTTTGACCATTGATTTGAAGAGGAGGGATCCATGCATATTCAACCTCAATGGATTATTTAAAGAAAATGCCGACAACGATTTTTTATTGGAACTTGGTAACTAAAGCATTTTTTACTCTCTATAACTTTAAATTTCATTGCTGGGAATTATTTTTGACAAAAATGTAATTTTTTCTTTAAAGTTCATTGGGTATTAAAACGTATTTTTGGTATTAAAACGTATTTTTTACCCCCAATTTGGAGGTTAAATATTTGCCCATAGCTGGGACCCTAACAGGTGCTACCACCCCTGGTCAGGGTGGGAATGGGAATACCAACAATTAAGAGTTGGTTCCTCGCTCTTCAAAACCTACTGGTCAAACGCCTTGCTGTCGGATATAATTTATCGTCTTACTCAGGACGCGGATGTAGTTTATTGTCTTACCCAGGACACGGATGTATTTTATCGTCTTACCCAGGACACGGATATAATTTATTGTCTTACCCAGGACGCAGATGTAGTTTATCGTCTTACCCAGGGCACGAATGTAATTTATCGTCTTACCCAGGACGCGGATGTAGTTTATCGTCTTACCCAAGTCGCGGATGTAGTTTATCGTCTTACCCAGGACACGGATATAATTTATTGTCTTACCCAGGTCGCAGATGTAGTTTATCGTCTTACCCAGGGCACGGATGTAATTTATCGTCTTACCCAGGACGCGGATGTAGTTTATCGTCTTACCCAAGTCGCGGATGTAGTTTATCGTCTTACCCAGGTCACGGATATAATTTATTGTCTTACCCAGGACGCAGATGTAATTTATCGTCTTATCCAGGGCACGGATGTAGTTTATCGTCTTACCCAGGACGCGGATGTAGTTTATCGTCTTACCCAAGTCGCGGATGTAGTTTATCGTTTTACCCAGGACGCAGATGTAGTTTATCGTCATACCCAGGACGGTTGATGATCAGATTTATATTTGTTAATTAAATATTATATAAAAGAAATCTATCAGGATGTGTTCTCTTCGCGGATTTAAAGTGATATTTTATTATGAGTTTTATTGTTAAGTATTGTTCATCTGAAAGTATGTTTATCATGACCATAATTTAACTTTTCATAGGTTTGAATTGGTGAACACTTGTTGTTTGTTAGTCAAATATCATTTAAAATATGTTTTTCGGGATCACTTTTACTCCTTATGGGTTTACATTTATTGGCATGGGCGTTTTAAATGTATCGGTCTAACTAAAATATTGAGAGAATGCGAAGTGGACGATAAAACGGATCGTAAGCAAAAGCGTCAGTAAAAAAGGAAAGTGAAATTGCATGAAAGACGGGTAAAAGCAAGTTCAAGTTGAAACGAATTGGAAAGATATCGGACATAATTGGTCGGGGTTATAAAGTAGAAAACAATAACAGGTGATATTCAAAAGCGAGTATCTTACTTAGGCTTATTTTTAAGACTTTTTTTTTACTTACATATAAGTAATTATCGGCATTTTTGGCCGAGAAACTTTAAAATGCAATGTTAATCGTTTAGTAATTTCTAGCTTTAAAATTATGTTTTATTTTTTATATATTCTTTCAAACACAGTAATCCCCTTGCACCTCAGTGGCTTTATTGCCTTGCTTGGCGTGAAATAATTGAAAAAGCATTGGTATATATATTACATATTACTTTCGCTACAACTATATTTAAAAATATGATTCCAAAACGCGACATAAGAAGTCTCATGTTTCAAAACAAGAGCCGAAAACTTCAATATAATTATTTAAATTAAATTGAGTTAAAGTAAGCTTTGTTCCATCTTCAAGCGAATTTTTTTTTGGAATAACGTATATCTGAAATATACGTGTTTTAAAAATTGAAATCAAAATTTCCATGGTAACAGCTAGGGCGAATTGTTTAAATTTGGTAGGCGAGTGTTGGGTGTTAATAATACGTATCAGTATAGAGTTACTTTCATAGATGTCAAGTCAGGGAAAGGTAGGAGTGACTAAATTTTAAACGGAAGATGTGTTAACCCTCGTCTAGTTTGCATGTCTATGGAGATTTATTTATTTTTTTATTTTATTTTGAAAATCTTTTTATCCTCACATATTTTTTATGAAGCCAGAACATCGACAAGATGCCAAATTTAAATTCTTTGTTCTAATTCTCTTATTTTCCAAATCCCGTTTTTCATTTACACTTTACTCACACACACGTGCACACACACACACACATACGTACATACACACATACACACACACATATATATATATATATATTAAGGGAATATACGTATACATATGCATGCTGACAAAAAAACAAGAAGATAGTAATAGATCTAAGAACACACAGGGGTTATTAAAAAAATAAGAATGCTGATAACTCCTTCACAATTTCTCGGACCAATCTTAAAAAAAAATGTTTTATAACCCTTCACGCAAAACTTTTTCACTGCCAATTCAGGAAGACATTTGTGTCACTGACGCACAAAAAGAGAATGTCTCATATCGAGAATATTAAACATCGAAAAACATAAGGAAAAACATTAATTGTTTTTAATATGTGTAAATCTCCACGCATTGCCTGACAGAAGTCACGAAACTGGAAACACGTGTAGCAAAATTATGGAAAATAAAGCATAATCTATTTTTTCAAAAAAAAAATCCACATTACAACCAAAAACGTTTTACGGTTTCTCTCTTCTTTTAATATACACACTTTTCTCTCGCTGGAACCACTATGACCTCGTCCCATTATATATATATATATATATATATATATATCACAATTGCCAAACCAGGTATATTGACTAATGAACACAAAATATTATATACATAATACTTTTTGGAAGTGACTTGTTATCAAAAGAATAATAATGCTTTGCCATACAACGATCAATATGAAGTTGTTTCAGGAGATCCTTCGTTCCTCTTGTTCCGTTGACTATCCCTGGATAGCTCAGCGTAAGGTGATGAGGATAGTCTTAGAAAATATCTGCAACTTTTTCCCTATTTCAATTTATCTTGATTCGCTTCGCTACATGCGATAGAAAAACACGAATTGGGTGAAGTAAGCACACAAAACAAAATAAAAATACGCGTTAAAATATTATAAAGTTTGTATGTTGCGGGAAAATAGAAGAAATTCTAGTTGTTAAAAAACTAGGAAGAAAGAACGTGGCCCGATTTTATCATCCAATAAGAAAGGACTAGAGAGAATATGCTTTTGCGTGGAAAACTGATTAAAAAAAAAAGCAATGAAATGGTAAGAATTTATATCTGCTGGAGATTGGCCTAAAACCATTATAGAATTTTTTATCGAAAACCTCAAACTCGAAATAGGTACAGATCGGATAAAAAGACATCCAATGATAGCAATATATTTGCATATCAACTAAGGTTACCCTATACACAGTTTTACATTTCAGTAAATATGATTAGAATGCAGGTTGGGACAATATTGCAGTATGTAATGTCATTTTATTTTGAAAACAAGCATCTTCTAGTTTTTGGAATTAGGCTTTGGAATGTTATTGAAATAGGACGAATATTTTACTGTAAAACTTTAGATCTGGATTCCACTGTTGTACTGTTGTGCATACTCTTTATGGAGACACACACGCATATACATACATACATAAATATATATATATATATATATATATATATATACATAAATATATATATATATATATATATATATATATATATATATATATATATATATATATATATATATATATATATATAAATTGCTGATACCCTTTGAAGAGTGGACGTGCAAGTCCGCCTACGGAGTCGGAATGCTGAAGGTACATCAGTCAGCTAAACGACTAAATTTTACTAATTATTAATATATTATATATATATATATATATATATATATATATATGACAGAATATTAAATTGTCAAAAAATTATAGGTTCCAAAATTGCTGGTTCTTTTTCTGTGATTACTTATAGAAATGCATATTAGAGAGAAGCCAGTAGCCCCAAAGAGAGAAGGCCTCACCACAAGTCGCTCACGAAACTTCGAAGTCGCATTGACGGAAATAACAACACTCAGTTAAGTGACAAGTTTCTCTACATACACACACACACACATATGCGTGAGTGGGTGTGTGCATGTTCTAAATGTAACACTACACACACACATATATATATATATATATATATATATATATATATATATATATATATATATATATATATATGGGTCACATTCGTAAATTAATGATACTTGTTAAATTTACCCTCAAATCAGGAGTGACTCGTAATCTCTATCTCTCTATCTGTGAATGCTTGATTTCTGACCATTCCCGGGTTCGCATTGTCTCCATATTCAGTTTGTCAGGAAGTTCATTTCTTGATGTTATCGGTTTCGAAAATGTCTGCAAACCATATTACGGGTTGAGGCAAGCCTTCCAAATGAAATTAGGTAGACGGAAAGGCTAAATAATGCTATAAGAACAATTTTCTCATGGTATTAAGGAGAGACTTGAGGTAACAGAATTGTTGCTCTACAGAAGGATGGTGAAAATACAAATGAGTACTGATCAAGATGTAAGGAAAATAGGAACCAAAATAATGCTCTCTTTGCAAAGTTCACGTTCAAATTAACATTAGAAAACAATCTATAAGAGAGACAACAAGATTTATCTAATACTTTGTCAAAAGTTGGAATGCGATTCTTTTTCCTAACTTTATAGAAAACATAGGAATCAGATCAGCGGATCATTGTCTTTTGTCTTATATTTCTATACAATAAAAGTGCTGTGCCTTATTTAATAAACGAAAGATAACAAGACCGTATGGCAAAAATCTGCTTTGTAGAAATTATTATCCAAATGTCTGCTTATAATTCTCCAAGAAAATAAATTCTCCATGTTTCAAAAGAAACAGACTTGCATAAACACAAATAAAATGGATTTTTATTTCCTAAACCAAGATAAACAATATTTTTCTAAATGTGAAAAATTCGTTTGTTTCTGTCTGAATTTCTTTTATGATGACTTATCTTCCTGATCTTCATTGTTATTGTCACACCGTTTCGACTGTTGCATCACCTTCGGTCTTCACTATTTACATTATTCGGACTATTGTCCTCATCTTTGTCGCCATATTTATCACAACATTCAGAGGGGAAGCATGTCTAATGAATGCCAGTTATCTCCTGTTTATTCCCTTCTGAAAATTCTCTACTGCCTTTGGGTCCTGTCACTGGATCTAACTAACGCCTTTATCCACTGTGCCAAAGAGATGGCACGTGGAACTATAACAGTCTACCCCAGTCACCGAATTAAAGGGTTCAGTTCGTCATTTCAACCACCTGAAGAAGGCCAGAGTGTACAACGGCCGAAACATTGTAATAAATATGGCGACAAAGATGAGGACAATAGTCCGTATAATGTAAATAGTGTACATAATACCTCATCTCAGAAATATAGACAGATACATTCGGTCTTCTTTCGAAGTTTTTCGTAATGTTAGAATCAACGATAAAAATGTACATTATCAGAATATTAAATTATTATTCCCATTTACTAGACCCGAGGTTTAAATTCACACTTTTCAGGTAACCAGAAATGTTTTATCCAACACATTAAAAACCAGGCCATGTTACCAAGAAGCACATACTCTGGATCAATGGAAGGAAAAGACACAAGTTTGAATAAGCATTAAGAGAAATGGGATATCGATTAATATTTAACAACGATTTTTAATCTTGCGTGGTTGTCGATCAAACAGACTAAAGATTTATTTAGGATCAACTAAATTAAGTATTAAGTCTATGCTAGCGTATGCATCAGTCTAGTTCACTTCGTAAATGTGTAACATATTCTATCAATTAAGATGAGGTAACTCAATAATGAAACATTTTAGTATATTTATAGTTTACTTTTCTCTAAGTACGTACGTTTTGGGTACGGTGATAAATTACATCCGACAGCAAGTTTTTTGATCGGTAGGTTTTGAAGAGCGTTGTAGCATCTGTTAGGGTCCCTGCTATGGACAAATAGCTCACTCCCAAAACTGAGGTCGAAACAACATGAAAACATGAAATAAAATTTTATCGTATTTGCAGCAATACATTTGACTCTCGACAAAAACCCTATTTCGAAAAATGAAACCAAGCCGCCTACAAACTGATTTCTTACAAATAATACATATTCTATCTATATTCTATTCTACGAATCTGGCGTAAAAATCTTGTCGGCATTAAATAACCCATTGAGACTGATATGCCGTAAAACAAAAATAAACCAAACCTAAGCATGTAAAATCGAATGGTAACAAGCTACAGCTGTATATTGAAGAAAGGGTTCAAAATTTCAAGATGTTTACTGAATACGAAGATAGATCCCTTAACACTTCCGTAAAGTAACGAAAAA